AGAGCAGACCAATCATGAATCAAATGTGAACGGGCTCCCGGGGATGCGGAGAATCTTATTCGTAAGTGGGTAGAATACAAACCAGACGGTATGTACTTAAGGTAGCCTTGATGTCTTAACGTTATCCTACGGTTATTTAATCTACTGTTAGTATTAGAAGCGTCGGGGGTGTAATCCAAAGCATTTCCATTTTGCTGCGACACTCGAGCCCGACAAATAGTTATAGATTCCTCGTCGCGCGGCGGAGCCATTGAACACCAACAGAGACTGACAACGACAAAACTGCTGAAGGAACCATTAGGCAACATCACGGACGTGTTTTCTCGAGTAGGACAAATATGTTAATACGAAGAGCGCCTTCTTCCGCTAGTGAGTTCGGCAATGTGTGGTTATTTTTGCCAAGCTAAGGAGAGATATCTTAATTAGTGGTTGGAACAAATTGCCTTAATTGTCGTCGACACATCGGATGGGGGGGTTTGAGCTGAGAACATCCCATCTCCGTTCATTCTAATTTGAACCGAATTTTCATCACCAATCTGATCTCAACCTATAGAATTAAGCTGATGAAGTACCGCCAATGGACCGCGATTGTATACCTACGTTTTTTTTTTTTTTTAAATCATGGTTTTATTTATTTCTGGGTACAAGAATATCGCATGGAGCCTAAGCTATGGCGTGAACAACACCCCTCCCCTACCAAACCGCCAAAGAAAACAAGACAAAAGGAAACAAAACAGATATGAGCGTGTATACATGAAGCAGACGCAGTGGAGAGACCCTGACATTCCTCCAACAGGCCAGCAAACAAAGAAATTCGGACGTCCCCCTCAGGGGCAGTATACTTTTGTACCAGCTACGCGTGATATGACAGGACATAGGAAAAGAGACAATAAGGAGAGCGACGAGAGGACACTTTCGGTGTTGAGGTTGTTGAGCGTACAGTTGGCTTTTGGGCCTGATGTGGGTGGGGGTGGCCTAGGCCGAGCTTGATGAAAGGGAGGTGAGTTCGGAGTCTGAGGATAGGTCATAAGGTGGGGACTTTGGGGGGCCCATTTGTGGGGGGAACCCGGTTTTGGTTGCCCTTATGTAGGAGGAGAGAGCTGCGAGTGAGGCGGGGGGTGACCAAAGGTCATCGAGGGTTTTTGCAAAGGGTATGTGGGTTGCCCTCTGGGGACTGCGCGCAGGGCAGCGTAGTATGGCATGTTCGAGGTCTTCGTCTTCGAGAAAATATCTGGGGCATGTTGGGGGGAGGTCCTGGGACATCCATGTTGGGTGGGCCGCTAGGTAGCTTTTATGAGCCCGCATTTGGCATATCCGTCCTGCGATGAAGCGGTCGAGCTTGAGGTGGGGGTGAGGGCGAGTGTTGATTGGGAATTTGTAGTAGTCTGGTAGGGGGTTATTCTTCCAGATTTGCATGGTGTCTCTTTTGATAGAGAGCGCCAGGCCCGGGTGGATGGTATTGGGGTTCTAGGCGAAAGTTGGTGAGTTGGTGAGCAGTGCGTGGCAGAGGTCATCTATGGGGAGGCGGGCTACCCCTTTCCTGGTCGAGTTCCAATTGACGGGGGGGTTTGAGCGGCCTCTTAGTAGGTGTCGGTGAGATGTCTCTCTGTAGGCGGAGAATGTGTGGAAGGAGTCTGGGGTGCGTGCGGTGACTGGGTTGTATGCGGGGGATGCGGCTTGTATTCTCGCGGCGTATCTGATGCGTAGGGAGGGGATGTATAGGGCGAGTGGAGGGAAGGATGTTTCGGCTTGTAGTATTGAGAGGGGGGTTGATCTGAAGCAGTTGGTGACCCATCTGAGGACTGAGTGCCAGGTGGTCTCGAGTCTCTTGAGTGCTCGTGCTGTTGGGACGAGGACGGAGGCTCCGTATGTAAGCATGGGGAGGATTGCCATGACTGCTAGACGTCGGCAGTTGAGGGGGGTGAGGCCTTTGCCTGCTGAGGCAAATCCTCTTATAATGGCGAAGGAGGTTTGCGCTGAGGCACACCTTTTAGAGAAGTGATTGAAGGTGTTGAGGTTGTCGGTGAGCTGGAGGCCCAGCCAGCGGATTTCTCTTTTGGGGTTGAGGGGGGTCCGGTTGAGTGTAATGGGGAGCGTGGAGTGTGCACTCCTATCAGCGCTGGTGCGCCAGTGGATGAGCTCTGTTTTGGGGAGGGAGAAGTGGATGTTGCGTTGGGTGCCTGCGTCTGTTGCCTTGTGGAAGGCATTTTCTAGCAGTGCGATGTTCTGTTGGTGGGATGGGGAGGCGACTGTGAAAGCGAAGTCGTCGACGTATGAGATGGTGATGCCGGGAGTTGGGTCCGTGTGAAGTGGCGCTACATATATGCAGAATAGGAGAGGAGAGATGGGGGAGCCTTGAGGCACCCCGACAACTACTGGAAGGGAGACGCGTGGGCCACCTGGGAATAGGAGGGTACATTTGCGGTTCGATAGAAATGAGAGGACCCATTGGACCATGTATGAGGGAGTGTTTTTGCTGCGGAGGGTGTCTGCTAGGATTGAGGGGATGATATGATCAAAGCCCCCTTTGACATCCAGAAAGAGGGAGGAGACCTTCAGTCCTCCGCGTTGGAGGAGCCTGACTTCATGTAGGAGGGTTGTTGCAGCGTCGGCTGTGGACAGTCCTTTGATTGAACCGCATTGGTGGGGGTGTATTAGGCGGGATGAGGAGGCGAAGGTGGGGAGGCGATACGTCATTATCCGTTCGAGGATTTTTGAGACTGTTTCGAGGAGGACTATGATCCGGTAGGCGGCAGGGGAGTTATAGTCCGGCTTGTTGGGTTTGGGGAGGATGACTCCGAGGGCACTCTTGAGCGCTATCGGGTGGTATCCGCTTCTGAGGAGGGGGGTGAGAAGTTGGGGGATGAGGGATGGGTTTCCTTGGTGGATTCGTTTCCAGGCTAGGGGGGGAAAAGTGTCCGGTCCTGGTGCCGAGTTGTTTGAGGAGGCGGCTAGTGCTTTGGCTACTTCGTCGGCTGTTACTTCTGGGGTATCAGGGAAGAAGCCCGGCTGGGGAGCTGGGGTGGGGTTTGGTTGGGGGGGGAAGAAGTGTGATATGAGGGCTTGGTTAACCTCGGCTGGGGAGGAGGCATTTGGGAATTTGGGGAGCTTAGTCTCCTTGTTCCGGGTCACGGTTTTCCTGAGGGCCCATACCTGTTGTGAGTCGGCTTGGGCTATAAAGTCGTTCCAGTGTCTTTTTTTGGCTTCCTGGATGGCGGAGAAGTATGCGTTGCGAGCGGCTTTATATTCGAAAGGGGGTGATAGACCTTTCCTGTATGCTCTGGTGACGGAGTTGAAGATCCGTCTGAGTGTTGAGAGGTATGGGGACCACCATGCCTTTGACCACGAAGACGGCCTTTTGGACGGGGTGGCAGCGAGGACTGGTTCGGTGATGGCGGCTAAGGCGCTTCCGAACCAGTGGTCGATGGGATATGAGATCAGGGGGAGGGAGGTTTTCCGGAGTGATTCCTGGATTGCGGGCCAGGGGGCCTTTTTCCAGTCTGGGGTGTGTGTGGGGGGGGAGGTCATGTTGGGGGAGAGGGTGAACAGTAGTTTGATTGGTGTGTGGTCGGAGCCTGCGTTGGGAAGTTTGTTGGACCATGAGTGGAAGAGGTTGAGGGCAGGGGGGTTTGCGAAGGCTAGGTCAATGACCCCGTGTCTTTGAAGAGGGTTGGGAGAGATTCGGGTGATCCTGCCGGGGATGTTGAGCAGGGAGTAGCCATTAGCTGCGGCTGTGGAGAAGTAGGGGGAGGAGAGTGACTCCTCTCTTCTGTTTATGGTGCGGTGAGGGTCGGTGCGGATGTTGTGTATGTTAAGGTCACCGCAGATAATAGAGGAGTTTCTAGTGTTGCGGAATATCGTCACCGGGGAGAATTGATTTTCTGCTGGGTGAGATGTGTCGGTTATAGGCGTTCACTATTTCTAGTTGTGCAGGGAGGAGGAAGGTGTCGGGGTTTCTCCAGTAGATGGCTATGCCAAAGACGTCGCCTCTATCGAAGTTGATGGGGAAGTAGGAGGTATGCTGCAGGAAGTCGAGGTGTATGTAGAAGGCGACTGATACGGGTTCGTCTTCTGCTGTTGGGGGGTAGACGCATTCATACCCTGGTGCGTTAAGGGGTTGGTTGAGGAGGGTGAAGGGTTCTTGTATTGCGACAATCTGGGGGGGGCGTTGTTTGGAGAAGGAAGAAAAGAGTGAAAGAAAGACTGCGTTGCTTCTTGCGCAGTTCAATTGGATTATTGTAAAGAGATTGCTGGAAGGATCTCCGCTGGATATGTCTGACCGATGGGTGATTGAGGGGGGGGGGAGGAGGGGAGGGAGGAGGATCGTGCTGGCATTACTGCGACATGGTTAAGTCCTGTTCCGCAGGCTCTTCTTGTTGAGGTGCGGGTACTGATGTGGACTGGGGGGTGGCGGGTTGGAGATGGTTGGCCGGTGGGGGGCTGTCTGGGGAGGTTTGGGGGGCGGGAGCGGAGCCCTGGGGGGCAGGCGATGTGCGGGTACACCTGGCGGGGCACTCTCTGAAGGAGGCGATGTGGTTGCCAGAGCAATTGATGCATTTGGCTTTCCAGGTGGCGCAGCAATCAATGACCGGTTTGAGGTGGCCGTTGTTGGGGCAAGTTTGGTTGGGGCAGCGGTGGTCTTTGCGGAGGTGATTGCCTGCGCAGAGTGGGCATGTTGGTGAGGATGATTGGCATCCTTCTGTGGCGTGTCCTAGGCGGGCACACTTGCGGCAGAGGGTATTGGGGGATGCTGGCCAGAGTTTATTGCATCGGCGGGAGCGTCCGAATAGGCGGATTTGGTCTCCGATCTTGTCGGTATCGTTGGCCGGGACGGAGATGACGATTGAGGTGGTGGTCTTCCCGATTCTGTTTTGGGGCTTGGAGAGGTAACGGGCTCTGGAGACAGCTGCTCCCGTGGTGAGGGCAACAGCTTCAGCGAGGTGGGGAGTGAAGAGAGATTCTGGGACGTCGAGGGCGAAGATGGGAACGTTGTGGATGGCTTAGTCGACGTTGGTTGGTGCGAGCTGGAAATCGTTGAGCGGGTTATCGGTAGCACTGCAGGTGAGGTTCAGGACTGCTAGGAGACCGGGGAAGTAGGGAGCGATGTCTTTGGCAGGGGTGGAGGGGGAGGCGGTGCAGGTAATTGTGCCATTACGGTTGACCTGGACTTGTAGGGCGGTGTGTGGGTGGGTGAGGCCTGCGTTGGCTAGGACCCTTCCGAAGTCGGAGGGGAGTCTCGCTTCGAGTTGTTGATGGTTCGGGAAGGGGGCGGGGTTGGATCTGGTTGCGAAGAATCGGCGTTGGGCGGCGGGGAGGTTTGTTGCTGGTTGAGGAGCTGTGGTTTTGCGGGGGCCTGCGTTCCGAGTGGCGGGGGAGGGGGCGGCGGGGCGGGAGTTGGTCTGGTGTTGTTTGAGTTTCTCGGCATAGGTGAGGAGGCGTCTGTTGCCATTTTGGTCGATGGTTTCGATGGGGTCGTTGAGGTAGGGCTCTGCTCCTTCGGTTATAGGGCTTTGGGGGGGAGGGACGGCCGGGGCGGGGCGTGAGGGCTGGCGGGACTGGTGGGTAGGTTGTCGTTGAGCGGGAGGGCGGGCCTGGGGGGCGGGGGCTGGGGAGTGCTGAGGGGTGCAGTTGTTGATGCGTGAGTTGAGGAGGGTAACGTCGGCGGTGTGTCTCGCGGATAGGGTGTGGACCTCTGTAGTGAGTTTCTCGATTTGGGTTGAGAGGCTCAGGAGGAGGGAGATGATGGCTTTGACCGGGTTCAACCCGGGGTCTTGGGTGTGGAAGGCGGAGGCGATGTGTTGTAGGAGGTCATCAGTGGCAGGGGACTTATCCTCTAGGCCCATTTTGCTGAGGAGCTTATGCTTGTCCACTAGGTGGAGTAGGGGGGCGGCGAAGGCTGCCTTTGCTTGGAGGTATTCTGGGAGGGGGTGGCCTGCCAGCTGGGGGGGGGGGTTGGTGCTCATGGCTGCAGGGGGGTATTCTGGGCTGTGAGGCCTAATGGTTAAAGACTTTTCTGCCTGTGTAACGTGGTTGCAACGTAAAACTTGGAGGAGATTTCAAAAACTCGGTACAATGGTTTGTATACCTACGTAAAGTCTACCGACATATATATATATCACTGTCTAAATGAACTACTCCTGCATTCTGTAGGTATGTAGAGTACTCGTATTTCTCTGACGTTTGTGGACGCGACTGATATTGTATACCATACAAAAATACGCCAAGCTCATGATTTAGTTCAAAAACGTCAGCGAAATACTAGTAGGTCCCGGTACATTTCACACTTCGGTTAGCTTGCTTGAAAACTTTGCAGCGGATCTAACCAAAAGCCTATCTGAGGCTGATCTCTGTGCTCCCTTGCAGCCAATCATCAGTGGAACAATCCCTGCACGAGTTCTTGAATGGGTACTCTGCGGTATGCATGCATGATCACAAATCATACCTGCGCATATCATGCGCAGACATGAGTTATGATTTGGCACGGTGGAAAATATTACGTGACAGTCGGTTGTGCCGATGGATAGGTGACTCCGGTACTATAAGAACCAACAGTTTCGCAGCGGTTCTCGACGATTTCTTTAGTACGAAACATTCCATCTAAATATCCCCCCGCTGAATTCGAGCGCCGGCGTAATTCAGTGTTCCTACCGCACCCAAGCACTTTAGTTTTTGGAACTGTCTCCCCCAGTGGTAAGTGAGCCCCCGAGAGAATTTGACCCTACTCTAATATATAAACTAGATCGTATATCTTATTGCTATCAGATATTCAAAGTTCTTTTTCCGCCGCTGGCCCCAACACCTTTCGAACAACAGCCGCCGACCTGACCATGTCAGCTTGTGATGGGCAAGTGGTATGGGGCACTCCCCGTTCGCTTTTCCGCTACAGCTTCCAGAATCGTGCTGATATATCAATTATGTATTCCAGTTTATCAAAGGCGTCATGTCCGCAATCGAATCACAACACGAAAATGAGTTGAACCAGTGTGAACTCGAGAAGCATCTAGTATTGGCAGCCGAGAAGGGTGATCTAGACGCGGTTAAACGCCTGGTGCAAGCTGGAGCTGACATCATGGGGCGGTACCTCCCTCCGCCAGGGACTCCCTTGGGTGGCGAATATGAAATCCTTAAAATCTTTGACAACCGACCGCGAGCATTAGTTAAAGCGAACTATTATTTCGAGGTGGAAGAGCAGGAAATGGGCGTGAGACAGCTCGGTTGGACCGCTCTCCAGGCTGCTTCAGCTGGCGGCCATCTTAGTACTGTGCAGTTCTTATTAGAATCTGGTGGTGACGTAAATGACCCAGTGAGTCCCGCAATCGCCGGTCGGACTGCTTTGCAATGGGCGGCAGGGACTCGAAATCTTGAGCTTATTCAGTTCTTACTTGATCATGGCGCAGATGCCAACGCGAAGGCCGAGGCTTCAGGCGGGAGGACGGCTCTACAGATGGCAGTAGAACGTGGATGTCAGGAAACAGTAGATCTACTTCTGCTCAGTGGTGCGGACGTAAATGAAGATCCTGCGCTCTCTTACGGAAAAACAGCCCTGCAGGCTGCATGTGTTCACGGTCAGCTACGTCTAGTTCAAGCTCTTCTTGATCGTGGCGCGCGCATCAACGAGTGCTCATCGAGCAATTCTACCGTGACGGCACTATCAGCGGCGGCGGGAGGAGGCCATCTAGATATCGTTGAGCTATTAATCAAGAAAGACGCCAATGTCAACGAGAAGGCGCCGAACACGACCGACCTGACTGCACTACAGGCTGCAGCAAGAAAAGGGCATTTAAAGCTGGTGGAATTTCTTCTCGACCATGGAGCTGAAGTCAACACCAGTATTCACGATTATAGTGGAAGGTCGGCACTACAGACGGCTGTCGAGCAGGGGAACAGCGATCTTACCAAATTACTCATTAGCCGAGGCGCGGAGGTCAACACAAATGCAGCGAACTACTATGGTAGATCTGCATTGCAGGCTGCTGCTGAGAATGGAAATATCGAGATGGTAGAATTATTGCTCGCTGCGGGTGCCAACATAGGCCAAGAGGGATCAGGAGTGGGTGGAAGGACTGCCTTGCAGGCGGCGGCCGAGAAAGAGCACATTGATATCGTCAAACTACTTATTGGCAGGGGCGCAAGTGCCAACGAGGAGGTTATGTACTCAGGCGGCCGAACCTCGTTACAAGCGGCCGCGAGTAAGGGACATATGGGGATTGCCCGGTTGCTTGTCGAAAAGGGTGCTGATCTTAATGCGGAGGCATCCTCTTCTCATGGATTGACAGCACTGCAAGCGGCCGCAGATGGAGGCCACAAAGAGATGGTACGCTGGTTGTTGTCTCTAGGGGCGGATGTTAATTGGCGTGGTTGGTTTGGCCAGGGTCGAACTGCATTGCAGGCGGCGGCGGAGCACGGCCATATGGATATTGCTCGCATTCTTCTTGAGGGGGGTGCTAATGTCAACGCGAATATAGGGTCGGGTCTTGGTAGCATTGCGTTACAGGTGGCGGCCCGGGAAGGGCACATTGATATGGTCAAGCTACTTCTCGACGCTAAAGCTCGTGTAGATGGACAGGCAGAATCCGACCCGAGTTACCCCCAAACCCCATTGCAGGCGGCAGCGAAGAGGGGGCACATCGAAATTGCTAAGTGCCTACTCGCTTCCGGTGCGGATATCAACGCTGAGCCAGCGGAGTTCTACGGTCGGTCCGCGTTGCAAGCGGCGGCAGAGCAAGGTCATCGAGAAATGGTGCGGTGGCTTCTGACAGAGAAAGCGGACATCCATGCAAAGGGCGCACAGCACGGCGGAGCAACCGCCATCGAGGCTGCAGTTAAGGGAGGGGATAGAGAGATTGTTGCGATGCTTGTGTCGCGAGGTGCAAGCAGGTCACTGGCGTTCCGCAAAGCTGCCGCTGAAGGAGAGCTGCATATCGTGAAAATGTTACACTCTCAGGGAGTAAACGTCGACGGAACGGCTGATGGAGAGGAGAAACTTAATTCTCCTCCTGAAACCCCACTGCAATCAGCAGTGTCATGGGGTGTTTACGACGTAGTCCGGTTCCTTCTAGCCAATAAAGCCGATATTAATGCCCCCGCATCCGGGCCCGGTGGAATGACAGCATTGCAGAGTGCTGCATCGAACGGGCACCTACATGTGGTTCAGTTTTTGCTGGTAAAGGGTGCTGATGTTAATGCGCCGGCATCGGAGACCGGTGGAAGGACAGCATTACAGGCTGCGGCGGGGACCGGGAATCTAGAGGTTGTCAAACATTTGCTGTTAATGAAGGCAGATGTTAATGCGCCGGTATCGGAGAACGGTGGAAGGACAGCATTACAGGCTGCCGCGGAGAGCGGGGATCTAGAGGTTGTCAAACATTTGATGTCAATGAAGGCAGATGTTAATGAGCCGGCATCGGAGACCAATGGAAGGACAGCATTACAGGCTGCCGCGGAGAGCGGGCATGTAGAGGTTGTCAAACATTTGCTGTTAATGAAGGCGGACATTAATGCGCCAGCATCAGAGACTGGTGGAGCGACAGCATTACAAGCTGCTGCACGAAGCGGAAACCTCGACATTGTCAAGTCTTTCCTATCAGAGGGGGTGGATGTTAATGCAGCAGGGGCAGCAGACGGTGACGGTAGAACAGCACTCGATGTGGCGTTGGAGTATAACAACCACGATATCGCATTACTCCTACTCAAAGCAGGTGGAAAGGTTTACGGCACTGTCGGCGCTGACGGACAGAGCGCATTGCATAGAGTATGTGACGACGAAACCTTTGATCTATTCCGCGCGATAGCAATGGAATGTGCAGATGAGGCTTTGAACAGAACAAACCTCTCGGGATCTACCGTACTCCATGTCGCAGTAGAGGGAGGTCATAAAAAGGTTATAAGCTGCCTTCTCGGGATTCCAAACTTAAATAAGGAGATACGCGACATACAGCGCAACACACCTCTCAAAATAGCGATACAAAAAGACGATACAATAACTGCAAAGCTCTTGCTCAATACGGGAGCAAGAACTGATGGACTTACACCCAATGAACTACAGATAGTTGCAAATATCCTCAAAGGTAAATCAACAGGGTCCGCGAAAAATGAGCATGACGATTCACCTCTTATACTACTCGGCCATGAGTATAGCAGTGGCACGCAAGTTAAACGTACCTGCGCAGAGAGGTTTGAGATTGACCATTGGGGTATTCATGAGTGGGAAAAGAATGCAAAGACATCTATCCTCTTTCCTAGGTAGGATTCTAACTCTTTTACCTTACTCGTGTTCTGGTTGCCTTCTGAAGGCCATACGCTGATAGGTGCTGGCCTGAAGCCCGGATACACAGCCCGATGGCACCGAAACCCTTAATACCTTTGTAAACCCAGATTCTTTCCTTCCCAATATAGAATACGAGACTACGACTAGGGAAGACTCCTTGGTCCAGTGGGGCTGGTTAACATTTCACCAGAGATATGAGTGGATGAGTACAGAGTTTCATGGGTTCCGAAAAGGCATCCCAACTAACCAGGATATGAAGTCGAATGCGAATGGTACGAGTCTTGCGTGATAGCGTTTGTCACTTTTGGAAGGGATTGTAGTTGACTTATTAGTTCTTCTTGCGCCATACATTCGTTTCGATTGGCCTCTCATAGTCGTTGATGCTCCCAAACTCAAATATGCGTATGCAAAGGCAGGGCAGACGACAGTAATTCCATTCACAAATGATGTGGCGGAAGTTTCAGGATTTACGTCTGAGAAATGGAGGATCGAAATTTCATGGATAATGGTGAAGCGAAATTGTAGCAAAAAACAAGTAGCAAGCCCAATGCAGGCCATCCACTTTAGAGGAAACATTCCCCGGAAGGTTCCCTCTATTCCTGGGAGTGCAGCGGAGTTTGTTGTGTGGTTTGTGGCGGATGTGTGCGATCATTGGATTGCGTTATTAGACAAAGCGGGGCAACAGCTTGTTGAAATAGTAAGTCATTTGATCTATAATGTACCATTCTCAATTCCACTAACATACTCACTACTATCTTCAGCGTGATTTTCAATTAATTGCAGAGGGAAGGGATTCAAAGGTAATCAAATCTTTACTCATGCACAGTCGCGAATGGAACAGGCTTCGGGAGACGCTCGGTAAGCATGTTGAGCAAGCGAATGACCTCGTAAAGCAGTTCAAGGAAAGCGAAGTATTGTTCGGTGAATTGATGATACCACTTAGAAAAAAGACGAAAAAAGACCGGATTAATAAGGACAATAATACCAAAACAATCCGTCCAACACCTTTACCCCCAGCCACCCTATCCCAAAGTGATGGTCCGGTCGCGACTGATAACCCGAGATTAGTTGAATCTTCTATGCCGGAGCCTGGCATTTTAGCTCGCAGGGCAACACAAACGATTATAAAACAACCCAAGAACGTACAGCACGTCGCATTAGCTCCACCTCCAACCGCTAGGGCGGATCAGGCTCCCAAGACTACAAACATTAAAGATCTTCCGAAAATCCGAGAGCTGGAAAAAAAGGTTAATCAAATGGAGAAGCTGGGAGAGCGCTTGTCAAGACTAGATAGGGAAACAAAGGAGATGATCGAGCTTGTGAGTTATATTGATCACAATACTACGAAGTTATAATGATTCCTAATGTATGAGGTAACGCAGGAGTTTAGTCTCGTCTCTATACATGAAGCAAGAGAGTCGGTGAAGATGTCACAGAGCATGAAGCGTCTCAGTTGGATCACGGTATGTTTCGGTCTTCTAGCGCAGGTAACATACCATGCTAACAGTTTATTAAGTTTATTTTCCTACCTTTGATGTTTGTAGCTGTAAGTAATGCTAAAGCTTGACATGGGTAATTCCCTGGCACTACTGATGCAATAAAGGGGCTGTTCGGAATGAACGTAGATATTCTCGAAAGCAACCCTTCATGGAAATGGTACCCAATCTCGGCAGCTCTATTCATGGCTTTCGTCATGTTAGCATGGGTTTTATTCAAGTGCCGACCTGTCAGTGTGCCCCATTGCACCCCAAGAAGATAAAACTGACCTGGGTATTAGATTTCGAAGTCCTTGAAGTGGTACGAAACTAGAGACCCTGGATCAGTTATTCGTAATCCTAGGGGCTGTTTGGAAGAATGAGGATGAGGAAGAGGGATGAGGAAATGGCTGACGACACGAAGGAACACAACGACTAATGCTACTTTTTGGGAGGTGAAGATTTTAATGTTACTTTTTTGGAATACTTTCTTTTCTCTGCCTGTGAGGCGAAAGGTGGTGTCCCGTCTATACACGATATTTTTCTTTTATGGTTTTATATATCTCCGATACATCACTCTTCTCTTTTGACCAGTAAATAACGCTCATCGTCTCCGCTATACTATTCTGTCCCTAAGTCAATCCTTCGCCGGTGTACAGGTCCATCCCGTGTCCCTTGCTCTGATCCCGTCCGATCCAACATCTAACGCATGATGCACACAGATACAGCGTGTCAGAAACAAGAGCACCTCCGTCTCCGCCCTAATTCCCCGCTAAATTTGAGTACTGGCTTATAATCGATATTCTCCTACTGCTGCTTATTTAACTCTTCGGCACAATGCTTGTCAGAGACGATCATATTCTATAAGTTACTATTGGTTGTGAGCTCCGAGCCATGGACTATCACTCGGCTTTTCGATGTGTGGTACGCATCTTTTTTTTTAAGTCATTAATTGTATACATAGTTGGGATCTATTTTTGGCTCGAGCATTGTATGCTGCGGTTCAGGTCCGTTTAGTTCAGATAGTGTTGGGGGTTGCGCGGTTGCTGGCGGGTTTCGATCTGGGGCGTGCAGAGAAAGACGCGTGAGATAACTACATTTCCTGGATGTGATAGAAGTCAAATACATACTTCCTCCTCAAGACACTAGACTGTACGAGTTCGCGAACAGATCCCGTGAGATGAAATACAGAGAGTACTAGTCAACACAACGCCTCTGTCTGGAGACATGAAATGTCACTCGAGCACAATATATCACTCGTCTTGGCAGCTTGTTTTGGTCTTGGCGAGATGCAGGTCCGGAGGCGTGCGAACGGCGAGGACTTGTCGGGGAGAAGCTCGGAGGTTATGGCTTTGACGTGAAGTTGCATGGGCCATGGTTAGTGGGTGTAAGTTTAAGGTTGACAAGCAGAAGGATTTGTTTCTGTTTTTTTCTTTGGGTGGGGGATTTGTAATATACCGGCGCTTTACTATCAGAAAGAAAGTATAAATACTGCCTATCAGGCACGATGAACTAAACTAAAACCAACTTGGCTTGGCTTGGCATGGTTTTGATACATTACACATCCGAACAACGAAGCAAAAAGCGCCGATGGATGGTATTATCAGACCTACAGGCAGTGGAGAAGAGATGAAACAAATTAAACTATGCGGATATGCTCCCTCCCGCCCTGCCGCGTCGGCACTTTTCTCAGTTGCCTTGTCTGTATCCCTTACCAAGCGCTGTAACGTCTGGTTCGAGGCACCCAACCCACTCACCATACTGTGCTACTTAAAACCGCCGGATATTAAACTACCGGAATAGGACACCGAAACCTACCACAATGATGACTTGAGACTGGTTGCTGCACTGAGAAATTGCGCTGTCATTAGGGCGTACTAGTACCAATATGGCGAGACGCGAATCCAAAAGGCTTGCCTGGGTTAGGGTTGATTGCTAATAATAAGTGTTCGGAGCCGTAGGAGGGGGGGTTCGCTGTTCAGATATACTCCTAAAAGTTTGGAGGGCTTTTGTTGAGGTGGTATGTTCATCCGAGCTGGATTTGGATGATGATGAGGGGCCTAACACATAACCAGGAACGAAGATTATTGATCACAACGCAGGACCCGGTCGATGACCTTGGGGCTTTGCCTTAAAGTCTCCTTACTCGTCTCATAGATATGAGGTCCCTATATCCCAGACAGAGGTGGGTAGTATCTCATGAAATGATGGATTAGGTTCAAAGGTACAAAGCTAATTATAACCAAAACCTAGGCAGTGGTTAGACGGGGATGCAGCAGAACCCACCGGTATACTGCAAATATAATATTCACGGTAGCTAGAGTTTATAATTCACTGGAACATGGAATGATCATGTGTGTCGAATGTATCGAGAGGTATTTAATACATGTTTTGTTCCTTTTGAACCCCGGGCGAGTTCATACGGTCGAATTGAGCATGATAGGCTTTTCTGTAGGTCTATTAAGGAGACTTCTAAAAAATGTTTAAATGCCCAGGTAAAATAAAAAATGCCACCATGAGTCTTTCCAATCATCTCCTCACCAGAATCGATTCTCCCCTGTGGATTCACAATACTCCACCATGAACCGCGCGAGTACAACAAATTTTTGAAAATAGCGACTCAACCACAAAGATATAAGACATAAAAACAGTATATTCGGAATCAGCAGCCCCAGGGCTATCTCCCCATCCCAGAAAAATTTACAACCTTTGACTTTTGCAAAACTTCACTACTTTCAACCGGGTTTTTGGCGGGGTAGGCTTCCAGGTGGCCGAGGTCTCCCGATGAGGAAATTTCCGAGGGTGGGCAAGGTCGCAGGTTCGAATCCTGTAGGGGGCGGTGACCCAGGGGATATTAATCGTGGGTTCTTTTGCTGGCTTGGTATGTGGGATGGTTTCTGCTCCTGGGGAGAGTTTTCCATGTACCCAGCGCCCAAATGGGGCTTATGGACTGGTGATGGAGTGTGGCTAAATATGAGTGCTGGCCTTGAGCCGGTTGGGGTATTCCACATCCTGCTGAAAGGAGCGACTAGTAGGCATAAAGGGTAAAACCCTGTACTTGTACTGTAGATTGAGTGCTCCCACATAACCGACAGGTTGCATGCGAGTATGAATTAAACAAAAAAAAAAAAAAAAAAAACCTGGGTTTTGGCGGATTTCAGGCCCAAAATCCCCGATTTTCGGGTCTTTTCAACAACAACTCAACAACCGAGCCAGCTATAGAGAATCTGAATATATACCTATAATCAGGCAAGTATTCTCTGTCAGTCAAGTTAATCATTTGTGATAGTAGGGATAAAACTCACACCTACCATCCCCTACCCCTTTGTATCACTCTCTCCAGAGGAGGACATTACTGCCAGCGCATTATTGTCTTGGCAGGCTTGGTGCTACCAGGAAGGTTAGACGAAGATGATAAGACAATAGTATTGTGAAGGACAAAGGCATTGTTTACAAAAAAAGAGCAGGGACCAAACAAAGAGCAACCGAAATAGCAACCAACAAAACAACCAAAACCAATCGAATATGCCACCACCACAGATCGTCTATGTGGTGACAGGGCTCGGAAAACAACCATTGTATTTCGTTGAAAATCTCGAAGGCAAGGGTTTTAGAATTTTAATGCATGATGAAGAAATCGAAAAGATAAGCACGGTATACCTAAGACGAGCAGGAGCCCAGTACGACCCAGTACAAGTCAAATATATGAATGGAGACCTCCAAACCCCAAACGAGCTCCGGAAGCAGTATGAGGCAGAGGCGGCAATGATGCGACATATTGACGAATTCTCCGACTTTTAAGGCATACCAAAACCGGAAGAGAAAAAGCAGATGGATGTAAAAGGAGAAAAAGGGAGTGAGGGAATCGCCGACGGAGAGTAGGAAGAGAACGACTATTCAGAAGAGGCCAGAGCAACCAAAAAAGGAAAAGAAAAAGCGATTGAGAGCGACATCAGCCAAGCGGTCGAAGAATCAAAGATGGAATGAACGAAACCTGACTTGTGTGACAGGATTGAGCTTGCAGTAGGAGCCATCTGGGAATATAGGGTCAGTATTATCAATGAGACGGCGTATAAAAACCTGGATGTCGATATGGAGACTTCAAAGGACATGGTAGATGTCCTGGGAGACCAAGATGCAGCTATGATGTATGAGGCAGCGATGGATATCATTGAGGAAGGAGGGGGGAAAAAGGGAAAGATGCACGAAGAAAACCAAAGCAGTAGAGAAGAGCTTTGGGATGCATGGATGAATCCGAGAAAGATTATACAACCCGGGAAAAAACATATTATCGAGAAGTTGGTTACGAGACTAAGCTCAAGTAAATGGGCTACGATAGCCAAGGAAGAAATTCGACAGGGCCTGATGGCATCCAGACATGCACCGACACGCACCAAAGAAGAGCGAGAGCGAAGAGGAACAAGGCAGCTCACGACTATCACGATAAGCAGCCAGAGCTCGAGAAGGAGCACACCGGCATTGGAAGAGCTCAAGAAAGAGGAATTGCCTGACTGGGCAATGGCAATGATCGATACTATCAAAGTGTTACAAAAGAAAGTGGCCAGACTAGAAGATGAAAAGCTAGCAGCAGCACGAGTAAAGGAGCGAAGAGTAACAAAGACCGAATAACCTGCCAGGAGAGAAATAAGAGGACAGAGAGCAACAGGAAGAAGCAAGCTGAAAGCACAAACGAGAGCAAGAACCAGCTCAAGAGCACTATTGACGAAGTCTACTGATGGGCTGCCAGTGGCGCAAATCTCACCCCCATCGGCGAGAAAAAACCAGAACCAAGTAACCCAATAAAGAACGAGGAAAACTGGAAGAAAATAGGGGAAGACCGCAGGAAGAAGCAGCTGGAACGCATTGCAGAACGAAGAGAGAAAGTGAGAAAGAAAGAGATTATTGTGGAGGTCAAAAAGAGCGGCCCAAATGAAGCAAACAGCGAACAACAACCCCCAAAAACAGCGGAAGAGCTAATACAGGGGCTAGGATTGGACAAGGAACAGGTCGCTAAAACCATGATAATCTCAGACGAAACCGGAATACCAAAAACCTTGATAGTAGTCTTCAAGAGCGAGGACGCGACGGAAAAGGCACTACAAGAAAAGAAAGCGGATACAGAATTGGAAAAAAAGCTCGAGATAAAAAGAAAAGAAGAAGACTGGGCAGGCATAGTTGTGTACGGGGTAGATACACAATCGGAAGGTAAATTCGAGGAACTTAAGAATCACATCGAAAAAGAGAACAACATCAGTCTTACAAAAACCCTCCGCTGGATGATCAAGGTGGATACAAGAAAAACAGGCAAACTAAACCTCGTGATCAACTTGGTTACAAGAAAGGTGAGCGAAGCAATACAAGGTATCAAACTGGCAGATGGATATACCTATAATACTAAAGAAATCAAAGAGCACTACACCAGGCAATATATCACCAGAGGAGCAGCGAAGGAACTCCAGTACACAACATGTTGTGAATTTGGATACTGGTGGGCAATTTGCCGAGCAAAAAGGGCGAGATGCGGCATATGCAGAAAGGAGGATCATCGGAAGGACCAATATAAGTACGATGAAGAAATATGCATTTCCAAGGGATGGTGCAAGAACCGCAGACAATTTTAAAGTGTGCAAATTGGAAGGGACTCCACGGAGCCCGATCTAAGTGGTGCAGGGAACGCAAGAACTGGTTCATGATGTCGATAAGAATGGAGCCGGAGAAGAAGGAAAACAGAGGAGGCGAATCTAGCGCTGTTAAGGAAACCAAAAAGAGCGATAATGCTTAAATCTTTCGTTGGCATATAGTACAACTCCAATGCATCCACCAATGTAATGCAGGGGCTGATGGAAAGTGGTTGAAGGGCGCACATGATAGCAATACAAGAGACATATATAGGAAAGGCAAGAGCGAACAGAACAATAGAAGGGGCAGTGGAATTAGGAAACGGGGAAATCACTGTCGGAAACAGCAACCTAAACATAATATACAGACCTGGAAAAGACGGAGAGAAAAAAGGGAGATGTGGATGGTGAGAAAAGATAAAGGCATTAGATATGCGGTGAGAGACGACCTGTGGAAGGACTGAGATCCAAGCGTTATCGATATATTGACAAAAGACAACTTAACGGCACTTCAAATTATAAACATCTATAATCAGACACACAGTAGCCGAGAAGGATGGTGTGTAAGAAGAAACCCTGCCAACATTTGCGAAGGATAAAAAACGATAGTCCTGGTGGACTTTAAAGTGAATGGAAAGTTATGTGATTCAGTGTCAGAACCAGTCAGAGGAGACGAAGTTATGTACATGGTGAAAAACCACAGCCTTATGCTGCTCAACACACCAGGTGTAACAACGTGGCAAAGATGGAACCAAGAATCTGTATTGTACCTAGCATGGGGCAGCAATAGCATGCATCTTCTCACTAAGTGGGAGCTGGTGCAAACGGAGGACACTGGGTCAGATCATTCGCTTATAAGACTACGAATCGGAAAAGCAAATCTGGAAGAGACATACAACCCTCTCGAAAACCAATATAATTTCAGAAAGGCAGATTGGAAAAAGTCAGTAGATGCAGCCAGAGAACAACGCTCAAGATTAAAGGAAGAATGGAAAATGGCTCAAGATAATGAGGACGCAGACGATATGGCACAAATCATAGAAACAATCATACTGGTGTCAATTGAAGAAGGAGTTCTACAGACAAGAAGCAGCTGGAGAAGCAAGAAATGGTTCGCCCAAAGGGTAAAACAAAAAAGAAAGGAAATGGCGAGACGCCACAGGTGGTGCAGGGTGAGGGAAAGAGAAAGCAAAGAAGCGGAGACAAGGAGAGCTGAGTGGAGGTTGAAAAGAAATGATTATTTCCAGGAAATAAGAAAGAAAAAGAAAGAATGTTGGGACAAATTTGTGGGCGATGCACAAGGCAACGACCTATGGGGAGTATTGAGACTATTGTTTAAGAAACGATATGCCAAAACGCCCACTATCAAGAATGAAAACAAAACGGCGGTCAAATTTAAAGAAAAAGAAGAGATCTTTATACAACAACTCTTCTCTAAAGCGCCAAAAGATACAGACACCGCTAGGATGATACCCCAACACGATGAACAACCTAAACATATCCTGTCAGAGGAGGGGGTGGGGGCAGCGATCTGAAAACAAGGAGCCTATAAGGCACCCGGCCGGGACGTCATCTGCTTTATCGCGCTGAAAGAACTCTGGTCGGAAATCAGACACCTAATAACGGAAGTATATCAACTAGCAATCAACCAAGGCTATCACCCAACCGCGTGGAAGAAAGCCATAGGCGCAATCATCCCAAAACCAGGAAAGACAGACTATTCGAAAGCCAAGGCACATAGACCAATCTAACTATTGATTAGATTAGGGAAGGGATTGGAAAGGCTATCCACAGACAGGCTGGCAGAAATCAGAGAACAAGGAGTACTCAGCTCACATCAATGGGGTAGGCAAAAGGAAAGATCAGTAGAGGAGTGCGTAGGAGATACGCTGGACTGTGCAGAGAAGAGAGAAGAAGAGGGCGAGAAGGTTGTGTTGGTAGCAATTTATATCGCCCAAGCTTTTCCGAACGTAAGCAAAGTGAAGTTGTCAAATTTCGTATATGAACAAGGAAACGATGAGAGACTGACGCGTTGAGTATATAGTTTCATGAGCGACAGGAGAGTCAACCTAATATTTGATGGAGAGATGGGATAAGAGCATATGGTGGAAACAGGGATACCGTAAGGAAGTCCTGCATCACCGATCCTTTTCAACCTTTACATTGCCCCCCTCATTAAAGAAGTCAACAAGCTAATTGAACAGGAATTCGAAGGAAAAGCAATCACACCCACCTTCATCGTCGACTTTACAATCGCAGTAAGCGGCAAGCACTGGGGACAAGCAATATCGAAGGCAGAGAGGATGATAGAAGTCACCTATAAATGGGTAGAAGACAACCATGTCAGATTCAAGGAGGACAAGATGGAGTGGATTAGGCTAGGAAAAGACAACGAAGAAGAGGAGGAAATTGAAATGCCAGGAGGAGGGGGGAAAGGCGAAAAACAGGAACTAAAATGGTTAGGCGTTTTCAGGTTATTTCGTGATCTATGATTGTGATGATGGATGATTGTCTTGATTTTTGATGATCCTGATAGGATAAGCCCAGGGGAAACTCTCTTGTACGCTAGTGACAAATATGATGTGACCTTAATTTGCTGACCCGTGTCTTGATCCGTGCTTCTGCCAAGACTACGCTACAGCATCTGGATAGAGAATAAGTTGACGTTCAAAAACCACATAAGAGAAAAAGCTGCGATGGCATTCAGAGCTGCGAAGTGTCTGATAAGCTTAGGGAAAGGAACAAGAGGAATGGGGGTCGGAAATGCGAGAATGTTTTATACTGCCTGCTCTAGGCAAATTGCGGAATACAGCGGAAAAGTATGGTGGAAAGGAAAAAAGGGACTCGGAGCAAAAATCGACAAAGTCAATATACAAGCAATGAGAAGAATCGGAGGAAACTTCAAATCAGCCCCCACAGCTGCAATAGAGGTGGAGAATGATATGATACCTACAGAAAATAGATTCAACCATTAGGAACGAATGAAGGCAATCAAAGGACTAAAACGCGCACCAAACCACCCTACTTATAAGGTAGTCAAAGATGAGATCAGCGAACTCATTGAAGACGAGGACACATAGCGGGCAGGGAGAAGAAGGGGGCAAAGAAGGAGGCGGGGAATGAAAGGAGCAGTTAAAAATCTGGCAGAGATAGTAGGAAAAGACTGGAAGAAAATTGAGAGTTGGAAAAGCTATTACGAAAAGGAAAGAAGATGGGAAAAAAAGGCGAGGGAAGAGATTGAAATAGATATCAGACCATATGATGAAAAAGGAATAGAGAAAAAAAGGCAGGAGGAAAGGAGGGAACAGGAAGAAGAGATCGTCATTTATAGCGATGGTAGCAAGACAAAGGAGGGAGTAGCAGCGGGGTTATGCAGGATAGGAAACGATGGAGGAGTATTGAGGACGATCGGCTACAGTTGGGGAAAAAGATGGAAATCATGGGCGTGGAAATGGTGGAGATCAAGAAAGCCATCGAAATCAGACTAAAAGAGGCTGCAAAGGAAAGGAAGAAAACGATAACGATCAAATACAACCACCAAAAAACAATAAATAAAATAAAACGTAGACAACAGGCATCAGAAAAGATGATGGCCCACAAGATACGCTACTGGTACAATACTAAAAAGACACAGAAGATCCGAGTAAGACTGGAATAAATCAAGAGACATAGCAAAATAAAAGGAAACTTGGAAGCAGATAAAGCAGCGAAAGAAACCATCAATAAAGGAAGAGTCGATAACGAGTGGTTCGTCTCGTTTGCGTTTTTAGAAAGAGAATCCCGGGAGGAAACAATAAGAGAATGGGAGATAGAGTGGGAGACAAGAGCGAATAAGGAAAAGGCGTTGCTCAAACCATCTCAACGAAATACCATTAAATTCGACGACACGGACCGAATCGATAGAGTTATTATCAGCCGCCTCAGGACAGGCAACATAGCCATCAGAAGATACCTAAAAAGAATAGGAAAGATCAAAAGCACTGAATGCAAATGTGGCAAAGGAGAGCAGAGTGTGGCCCACATACTCATCGAATGCGATGCAACAGCCGAAACCCGCAAAATTTTCAAAGAACATAACACGCTCATCAAACTCCTTTGGAAAGCAAGCGGTATTGAAGCAGCTACAAAAATTTGGAAACAATTTGCGAGATGGAGATGTGAGAGGAATGGACAAGACGAGAATGAAGAAGAGGAGAGAAGGGAGCTAGGGTACGGGTGGGGGACGTTGAAAGATGCGGGAAACGAGAAATAGAATAAGAGAGGGCTCTGAGGCGTTTATTTCCTATGTCAGAAATACGTGAGAGGAGGCGGAGGAGAAGGGGCAGTTCAGGGGTATTGCCATAACTGTAAAGTTGCATGCAATTAATGAATTAAACAAAAAAAAAATCACAATACTCCACCCCAAACTAATCCAAAACTTCCCGAGAAATAAATACCAACTACCGCTGACTGATAGGCTGCAATTGTTGAGGAAGCTAGAATATTATCCATGTAATGAAAAAACACTTGTCTATCTATCCCCCCCATACCCTTTTTTCTTCTCCCGGTATAGGCAATTGCTTTGGATTGCTAATTAAATAGCACCACGAGAGATCAACTAGGCTACAGCTGGGGAAAACGGAGAAGACATATGCGAAACTAGACGGTGCTCGGCTTTGTGCATATTTGACAATGTACCACGGGTCCTACGACAGTAGGACTAGTTTTATTTGTCTAGCACTAGGCAAGGCATCGCTCTTTTTGTTCATGCTCAAGGACCTCAAAGACTCAAATTATGGCATCAGATCGTAGTCTCTCAGCCTGTAAAGAGCAAAATCCAGACATCTTCCACCACCGGCCATGACCGAGACGGCACGAAACCTTCGCTCCACAACCAGCAAAAAGTAGAGAAAAAGACCTAACTACGGCGAGCTAGGTCTTGGTCTCTTATTGCGTCAGTATCCTGCCCTCAGCTATGCATGGGTACCCATCTGCAGCCCGGACAACCTTACACATTGGCATCACAGATGGTTACTCGGAAACGAGTGATTGACCAAGATTCCTTGACCCAAACGAAGTGGTTGTATTTACGTGAAGGTACTGACCTACGAGCCCGATAGCACTTATCTCGCTTCGGATACGATCCATTATAGGTGTATAAGGTCGTAATTTAATCGCACTACAAATAACTCTCACCACCCAGACCAGCTGTGGCGTGGGAATACAACGATTGGGCTGATTTTATTTGGATTTCAAGAGTGTCAATATTCTCCATACATATTTAGGATTTGCCTTTAATACCTTGGAGTCCTGCTCACTTACGTTTTTTTCGCAACTCCCGCTACCGCGATTCTGGCCCGCCCCACCACGCTATACAGTGCCTATCCCCCACCGGGATGCGTTGTTTTGTCCCCTTGCTAGGTGGAACAGACTCTCAATCTCTCCATCGCAATTAGGTACTAAAAATCCCTTAAATACCCCCTTCAAAATCTTCGTCCATCATGATCAAACATACACGATTTCTTTATCGGTATTTTGCTTACTTACCAGCACGAGATCGATCAGTGGAGCACCACCCTGATCAAGACATAGTTACAGTAGAGGGCCGAACTAGAAATGAAGAGTCTCCCCTAGCAGTAATGCTAGACTTGTCTTCGGTTTCTTTGATAATTCCCCAAGACCGGCCACTCGCTCACCAGACGAGTGATAAACCATGACCTAGAGTAAGAGTAACAACACTGCCACACAGAAGAATCCCAACCGCGCCAGATCTAGAAAATACTATTCACTTCTCGCTACATCAATCGCGTTATTTTAATAGACTTTGTCAATCATATACAATGTTCCAATAATATCCGCCAATCAGTACCCCGGCTGGACACCTCCACTGGCCCGCGATACCAACCACTTCCAATGTCAAAAAACCATCACTTTCGCGGGAATCGCTTTCTGTCACACTTTTCCCGAGTTGAACAACCTATATTCGGGTGACCCAGGTTGTATTCCAAATTTTTAATCGATAAGTACCTTACCGTCGAAACGCATACAATTTTGAGCCTTATCTAGTCGGTTTATCGAGATCGTAGGCTCATAATAGCCTTATGAATCCAATAAGGTTCAAATACGTATTATTTAAGCATGTTTTAAGGATGAAATAGGGCTTAAAAAAGGATATTTGTACTGATAAAGCTATTGTGAGCCTACATTCTGGATAAGCCGACTGAATAAGGCTCAAAATTGTATGCGTTTCGACGGTAAGGTAACTAGATGTGAATCGTCTACTCATGGGGAGCGCTGAATGTAACCTCCGCATGCAAGAAGGTCTAGTACCTTTTGTCGGCTAGCGCCAACCGGATTCCTCCAATCTAGTCCCTCCCCATCTCACGAAGAACACTCCCCCCACCAGATGAGCACACTCCCCCCGGCCCCGCTTCAGTTCCCAACGATGAACCAAACAGCACGGTAACCCCACAACCCCCCAATCCTAAGCTATGGACCTTCAAAATCCACGATAGAAAGTTTCTTGTTAGGCAATTTAATCGCAAAGTGATAATGGAGATTTTATTACTCCACGTAAACCGTGTATCAGTCATGCCAGGGTTAGGGTTATGCATCGAGAGATCATGGCGAATAATGTTTGGGCTCTTTGAGGTATAAGAGGTCTGGGATTCACAATCCAACTTCTTATGGCTATCCTCATCTCCGAATCCGGCCGGCTTTGGTACGTTCAAGAGGTAATTAAAGAAATATCATATGGGCCTCTAATATCATCGGACTCTGGTAATGAGGTACGCGTGCGTTCGGGGGGGGAAGACATTTGGGATGACGGGTTTTAATGGGCGTGATGAATGTAGTTCATCATGGTTTTGTGCTTGTGATCGGTTGTAGAGAAGTGGTGATGGCGACCAGGGAGAAATCTAGTACATGCAGGACTAGACTATACGGGCCACATCGATAACCATTAAAATTTGACATTCATGGCAATGGAGGTTCAAGAGGAATGAGATGAGAGGGTGATTAACTAGGTTGTGCAAAAAGATACTACAATAAAAAGGATGTGTTCTATATATTATACCACTAAGTTCCAGTAAAGCGCTCCCAATGAATACTTCTTAGAATATATCGGGGACATGATCACAAAAGTATGTCATAATGACGGAATGACAGGATAATAGCAAAAAAGAAACAATAATTTCCAACATCCCCTTCCTATTCGCTGACTCCCTCTATCAAATAGCTCGAGAAGAAAACATCCAGTCAACCAGTCAACACTCTAAAATACACATCCCATACTTGTTACATCTATATATAGATTAGATATGCCCTTGATCACGGGCAAATATACTTCACAGTTGATAAAAAAATAAGATATTTATATCTAGCACCCCCGACAGATATGCCGCCCTCCCATTCAAGGTAGCATCCCGGTCCACCCGGTCTTCTCCGAGAGCGATAGATAACAGAATAGCCTCAAATAGAAAAAAGCCTGAGCCGCTAAAGTAAAAATAAACGTTATATAGACCAGGCTGTGATCTTTATTATTCGCGGGAGTAGAGGATAATCAGAGCCCAAATAAAAATGATCACCGCGATGCCTACTAGCGTCAACTGACTCAACACAGAGCCCATCGGGCTCTCGAACCCTATTTCCAGTATAATAACCAACACAAACAGAAAGTAACCTACAACCCCCATTAAGCCAAATACCGCCGAGAGATACTGGGCCGTGCCATCAATGGGTATCCTACGGCTATTTGTTTTTTTCGGGCTTTTCTGCGGGAAATCTAACATTTGGGTGTAGTTCGCTGTGTAGTATACAATTTCGAGGATTAACCAGGAGACGAGAAGAAGTGCTGCCCAGATGAAGTAGTTCCCGATGTTCCAATATCCGCAGAGCTTGACGTATTGGAGAATAGTGATGACTGAGATGAGACGTCGTGAGCTGGACAGCAACCCCTTCAGTGATAATCCGGTAGGGGCCTCAGTGGAATTGGTCTTCGCGCGGGCGTCTGCGGTAATTTGAGTGGCGCGCTTTAGTCTCGCCCCGCGAGTATGGTGAAAGATCTCCACTAACAGTAAGGGCGCATCAAGGAGAGGGAGATAAAATGAAACGTAACCGTGATACTGGTAGCATGGCCGAGTCCACAATGATGCATTTAAAGGATGGGTGATGTATGTAAGGTTGAGAGCTACGAGTGCCCATAAAATGTTGAAAGGTGTGACCTGACCAGTCGCCGGAGGTTTATCGCCGGCATCCGTCCCTATGTTTTGGAGTACCTCCGCGAGAGTACTGTTCCGTAGCTTAAGCGAATTTGTGACTGTTAGTTCTGTATCTATTGACTTTGGATTTTCGGGAGGGGTTGCAGCCCCGGATGTAGGCAAAATGAGTAAGGCAAATAGGATCGCAAGGTAGAGTATGGGAGAAAACATGACTTTGACGAATGCCATGGCTGGCAAATACGAATGAAAGTAGCCACCATGCATATGGCGAACTTATGCTCAGTATATATTAGCACTTGGAAAGCCCCGGAGATGTCTACCAGCAGGATGGAATTGATGGTGGCATTGAAGGGGGGGGTATTGGAGGTGGCAGTAACATCACTATTCACTGAAATAGCTGAAACATCCCCAAGCTTAACTAGATCACTACTAGCGGAGGGGATACCTGCACTGAAGATGGCTGGTACTACATTCTTTGTGGGAGATACTGAGGCAAACCCCGCGGTCGCGATCTGGAGCAGTTTGGTGCGGGGTAAATCGAGGGTTGGTACCTATCCCTTGAACTGTCGGAAAATTCACTGCTTTTTAGCGTTGGCGATCGATCAAATTCAGATCACAACCCTTCCTAAATAGGAACCACAACGGTTCACGGCGCAACGGAGAAAATTTTGTAGTAGTGAAAAGTGAACTTCAACCTTCACACCCATCAGTACCTTGCAAGATGGAAGAAGGAAGCAGTTCTCACTGGCAAGCGATCGGCTATCAACACCATTGGGACGCGAACCAGATTTTAGAGTACCGAGAGGGAGGTACTGTTTTGGAATTGAATGTGGAAGGTGACGCGAGGATTGAGAGTGCGAGGATTGAGAGTACGAGGATTGAGGGTGCACAAGACCCAAATTAAAGTGATGAGGGCGAGTTGGAAGATTTACAGCGGAATCATCACGGTGCAGATGAAGAGGACGAGTAGGAAGAAGATAATTATGATAGGGAACCTGCAAGAAATATTCCAAACTTGCCAACTCCTCCTATGTACGAGCCTTATGTTAACCCAAATCCCCCGCATGAACGTCAGACGACACTACCAGAAAATCTTGACTCTTTTGACTCCCCTAAAGCCTTTTTTCAACTTTTCTTTTCTGATCCGGACTTTGAGAGTTTAGCGTGCAACACCAATATGTACGCCGAGAACATGCATGCAGGAGCAGCTGGACAGCGTCCCTAGTGGCCTGGTATTGTTGCAGATCTGAAAATATTTATCGGAATAATTATTTATATGGGTGTGTTCTGTTCTTCACGGTGTATGGATTACTCCGCCAGGAATGTTCGCTATCCTCAACATATAATAGGTCGGTACATGACACAGCTACGTTTTGAACAAATCAAGCGGTATTTCCATATATCACCACCTGAAAATATCACTACTGAGGAATGATACCTCAAAATGAAACTGTTAGCATCCAGTATCTCTAATAAACTCTGTGAATATCTTCTTCCTGCAACAGATATAGCCGTAGATGAAATGATGGTGCATTTTACTGGCAGATTAGTTCATACTCAATGTATACCGGGAAAGCCAATACCCTGCTGATACAAGATCTTTGCTCTCTGTCAAAATGGGTACACCTATAATTTTCTCTTTACCTCCAGAATCTATTCCATTGCAGGTTTAGATACAGCTCTTTACAATTGTCCCTTCAGTCTAAAGAAAACCTCCAAAATAGTGTATCAACTTGCATTTTCATTACCATGTGGTAGTCATCGCTTCATCATTTATAAAAACATTTATTTGAGCAACATCCGTCTTCTTAATACGCTCACAACAGTTGGAATTGGTGCTTTTGGAACAACAAGAACTAAAGTTCTGGAAGGGCACATGCTTCCCTCATAATACAATATCAGGTTCAATAGTTCAAGGAGTCTTTTCCGTCCTTTGGCAAGACAACAATCTAAGACGGTTCTTGACCACAATACATCAAATTACTAGTGGGCAACAAAACCGTGCAAATTGTCCTTTGAAGGATCGGAACAGGCCCCGTGTAACCCAATACAATCGTCACAATGTTCTGAACGCATGTGGGGTATTAGGGAGAAGGATAATTCCAATACCTTAAGTGGCTCTGGTGTATAAAATGAAGATGAACGGGTTAGATATAGCAAATCCATATAGATGCTATCATCCGATACAGCTATGGCTGATCCGCAACTGGATAGCTCTGTTTTTTTGGTTATTAGATATTATTATTATCAGTTCCTGGATTATTGCTAATGAATCTCAATCAAATCGACCGACAAAACACTCTTTTACCTTCAAAACTATTGTCCAACAACATGATTTGAGGATCAATTTCACTTTGGAACTCATACTCGACGGTACAACCAATTGAACCCAGACAAAACAGCTTCATTGGAATTATATGTCGACCATAGAGCGAACTGGAAATATTCTCCTGTAGCTGTTCCGGCTGGCAATAATACAGAGAGTCGCAGTAGAGGTAAAGTAACAAAATATTTTTTATTTCAAATACTAAATATGAATAGTTTAGATGAGAAAACACACCACGCTACGACCGAACCGCAAAGAGGTTGAAGTCAACCACTGTCGACAATGGAAAACAGTAGACAGAAGTTTTGCTTCTTTTGCAGTATAGTATCAAAATCCGATACTCGTAAAAATATAGTATCTGTACATGGTTGGTACCAAAGGGGAAAGAATATGTACACGGTGTTCCAATCTTCACATTGTCAACCCCCGCTATGCAAGGAACATTGTTTCCTCCTGTTTCATGATCTACCTGATGACTTTTCAAGTATAGCTATATTGGTTTTAAGCTATTTCATCCCTTAGTAAGTCTCAAATACATGAAACTCTCAAGGAAATCTGAAAAAGTAACACATAGGTTTGTAGGCAACAAAAATAGTTTGCACGCATTTGGTTTTGCTAACGGGTGAATTCTGAACAAAAAGTTAGATTCTGCATATGTATTTAACTCTATATTTAACTCCATAATGTTATCATATATAAATATTTGGATGTGGTCTGGGCAATCAGTTTTGTTACTATTGCAGGTGCAATTTGCTGAACCAAAATCTGATGCTACTCTATTGATATTGCCAACGGGTCAAATCTGAGTAGTAAGTTAGATTCTACGAATTTTTCTACACCTACATAGATATCCACCACTTATTTATGCCTCAATTTTGTCCTTGAATGAAGAGTAAATGATTTTTCCCCGTTGAAATGGTAAATATCTCGTTTCAAAAGTAATTATAAAATCTTGAATATGGGCAGCTAGTTAAATCCCACTAAATGCTCAAATTCTATGAATCTTTTTGCCCGTATATAGAATACACTATCTATATTCAACACTTTTGTGTTGCTTTTCGATGTAATTTTTGTCATCCTCACCTTTCTGTCAATGATGGAGTGTCCGGTTCCCACAACCACACCACCCCTATTCGGGCCCTCATTGAAAACAGAAGAAGGAATTGCTAGAGAGGAGGAATTTATATCCGATTTATACTATTAGTTTCCCAATCATATAATGAATATAGCCTGAATAGGCAATTATGGGCGTGATATTGGATGGGTTTCCCACCAAAAGCCCAACTTTTTGAAAATTCATAGTGCCACTTCAATAAAAGATATAATTCAATTGGCCTCGTCGTTTTGTGGGGAAGAATCAGAACTATTGAAAAACAGAAAGCAAAATAAATTAGTGTATGGTTGTGGAATGTCATCAGTGGTTAAAATTGACTTCCGATACTAGTCCGTCTCAAGTGTCCCCAGTCATAGAGTTTTTTAGTGCAACCTCGCTGATTTTCGGAGCAAGAAGGAAACTCATGCATACAAGCATGCGCTACAATCGCAGGTGACATATCACTTTATCAAAAATTAACTGTTCAGATTCTTCAGTGCTAATGTATTTCTCAGCATGCAGCTGCAAGGTCTTCCTCCGCCTTGAATGTATAAAATATTGGTAAAAGCTTTCATGCATTAGCGTGGCCTATCCGGGAAATGATTGAGTAAGGTAAGGCAGTCAACTGCGAACTTTACTGCACCGTTAAGTATTCTAAAGACCGATAAAGGCAGCAAGCTGATTACTAGGAAATTTTCTTAAACAAATTCGAGGTTAAATGAGGTTCATGAATAAGAGAGATTTTACCAATATTTCATAAATATAAAAGATACTTTCCTCGTCAATAGCTTCATTGAATCTTATTTGTATAAATTTGGCTTTGGACTTTGAAAGTAGGTTAAATGATTGAACTAAAATGCTTCAATGTGTAAATCGAGACGTCACTAGATGAAAACCAATTGGCCACATCTGAACATATCCGAAACAGGTTAATGCAGGATTGATGTAGGATTTCTGTAACGGAGCTATTCCAACTGTCTGCTGTATAAGTACACAAAGTGCCCATTTAAATTCTGAGGGTTATTGATAAAAGCCAGTTGCACAGTGATATTCAAGTGCCGGCAGTGTGGTTGGTTGCCTGCTGTTCGAGTAACTACATTCTGAGGGCTAAGAAGAGGTTCTATTAATGATAGCAATGACTGACGAGGCTATTCGTCACCAATGACTAGAAGGCCATACAGAGTGGAGCTCTCAGTGCTCGGCGATACCCTACATTCTCTGAGGATGATAAGTTCAACAGTAGTGGCAGGGACTATGCCTGGGAACTCTACAATAAGCGAAGAACTCTACAGCAAAGATTAAGCTTAAACCTGAGCTGTAGTCCATTCATTCAGGGCCCGGTTGTATGACAACAAAGGCTGCAGGTGTTACAAAGGCTTCGACTAAGGGTAGTTGCCTACGGAACTGGAAACACCCACTAACACTTAGAGAAAAGTGGGATAGGTTGGGATAGTTTCCTTTTCCGCTAGAAAGAACAATCGGAATTTAGTAAGAAAGTAGTAGCAGCAGAACAGAATTCTTTTGGAGTATAAGCACTCAGCATCCTTCCCGCCCAACTATCCGATTTCTCCAGTCTTTGGAGATTTATCAAATTCTGTACTCGGTAACAGAGCCATTAAAATTATTGAGTTCTAGCGATAAATCTTTGAATAATCTAAATCTGATTTCTGTCTTGAACAGCTAAATCTTTATATTGGATTCTAGCGATACGTGGAAAAACTGTTCTCGTTACAATTAGTTATAGGTATTACTCACCGGGATTTGGCTTGTGGGGAAATATTTGTTTAGTTTCGCTCCAATCACACAGCGTCAAGGTACTGCCGTTCACGAGATATTGGTGTAGGACCTTATAGGTATGGAAGTAGCCCAAGGATTTACATTTTGAATTTCTCGACAGTATTTGATTTCTCGGGCTGGTGTCTCGGAGGGATTGGCTATAGTGAAGAAAAGCTTTTTGGATAAATATATATGTAACCAATGCGGAGAAGTGGAGAGTATTCACGATATGTATTAAGAACCCTCTTTTAGGAAATTTTGTTATATATCAATATGCCAGGACTTGCATTTGGTTGAATTTTTAGAAAGGGGTAACTTCGTAGCCAAACAAGTATCTGAAGAGTATGTGCCAAAGCTTTTAAAACTCAACTTCCACCATTGTAATTTGAGTCCTTTTCAATCCTAATCCTCTGGAACTTAAGCAAAAACTCTTCTGAAATATTCAAAGTATGACTCGCATCAATCAAGACACGAGCTCTATACTATCGTTATTTTTTTCTTTTTGTTAGTTAAATATTTAATGATTATAAATAAAGACATATGAAAATTCTTCATAATTCTTTCCAATGGACGACTTGTTTGGCTAAACCTATTGCAATACATTATAATGGTGAAAGCTATTGGTTGGTGTTGGCTGCCACACATGTCACCTATACAATTTTAAACCAATTGATGAATGTTCTCAGTATTTGACGTTCAAACCCTGTAAATAGTAAGCCCGTCAATACCTAATAAGAATGACTCATAACAGTATTAGTGAAAGTATGTAGGAGGAGTGGAGTGATTGGTCATTTTGATGATTCTATATTAGGGCGGATGCATGCGTTTATACTGAAGAGAGGGGATATAAAGGAAATCTAATAGGTTAGAGATATATGAGAAATACTACAATTGCTAATAGTAGGATGAGTCATGAGTGAGTCATGCGCCGATGACAAGTACTATTAGGAAATAATGAGGTGCTTCCAATATTATGAAATGTCCCCAGCGTCCTATTTCCACTAAACACATACCATTTACACTCACAAATGCCGCTGCCAAAAGTCCCACTGGACTGCTATCTCCATTATAGGTATTAAAAATATAAATTATAGAAAAAAATAGTAATTATAAAGCTAGAGTTCATAACCAAGTGATATTCCAGTAGTGTAAAGTATTCTTTATAGGAATTGTATTAATAACTATTCTAGGTTCACGGTATCAGGATTAAAAAGAGTGTGCTTATAGGTTCTCAGCAATATATTTTTGAATTTTCTATTGAGTATGGAGGATCGTAACCCTCATCATAATGGCAAAACTCCAAATCAGAATATAATTATCCCCCTGCAATTAATTGTTATCTGTTGTAATGAAGCTACTCATATTGTATGGTGCATGAGTACACACAGGTCCCGGTTACATGCTGAGAGCTATTGTTAGAAGACAGTCGCTCATTAACATGCAAATACGAGCAGTGTGGTTAGCTACCAGTTACCAGAGTAACTATATTTTGTTCAGTAAGAAGAGGATCTGTTTACTTGATTATTGACTGATGAGTCTATGCTTTGCTGATGAATAGAATGCCAGCTAAAGGGAACCTCTGAGTGGTCGGCAATCCTCTATATCCTCTGTGTATTGTGAGTCCCACAGCAGTGGCAATGACTATTCCTGTCATATCTACAACAAGTGAATACTCTACAACAATGATTCAGCCTACACTTGAATGATTACTGATTCTATGCAGGCCCGGTTACGTGTTAACACACGCTGCAGGTGCTACAAAGACTTTGACTAAGGGTGTTGGGCTTTGGAACCAGAGGCACTTCTAACGCTTAGAAAGAAGTATAGTAACGATAATATTGCTTCCCTTCAGCCAAAGGAAAACGTTGGAACTTAGTAAGGAAGTAGGAACAGAGAACAGAATCCTTTTTAGTATAAGCACTCAGGGTTCTTTCCGTACAGCTGCTCGATTCTCCTACAATTTTGAATGTAGCTATTGAATATTTTATACTGAGTAACGGAATTTTTAAAGATTGTTGCGTTCTAGGCGGTAAGGATTTTTGAACAAACTGAACTTGATTTTTATCTTGCATGACTATATCTTTCTCGCGAATTCAAAAAATACGTTTAAAGATCATTTCCGCTATACTTGTTTAGCAAATTCTCAGTAGAAAGAAAATTAGAAAGGGTTAAATACTAGAATCTCCAGTCTGCAAAGTGTAATTATTCTTACCGGAAACGTAGAAGCTGAACTAAGACCGGAAGGCTGATCAATAGTAAGGAAATAGTTCTACAAATCTCTCTACCAAAATTTTGAAATTGCAGGTAGTAAGTGGGAGTATTCTAATACTTGACAATAGCATAAGGTTTGGAGTTAAGAATTGGTTGATCATTTACCTTGGTGTATATTATTTTTGAAATTTAGCCCATATTTCGAACAAACAGTAACTATAGCGAGAGTATCCGATCCTGATCTCTATTATCTAAAAATTCCAAATATGTTTACCTCAATCCTTCCCCACCCCCATTTTATCTATTATTTCTATTCCCGATTTTAATTAATTTAATACTAACACGTGCTTGAATTGGAGAATGTAAACTTGTTGGCCAACAGAAAATGTATATCTTTGAATTCTCTTATAAAAGACGTACTAGTGGGAAAGGCGGTACAGATATAGACTCTCTCCATAGATTCTTTATAATAGGAAAGTTCCTCAATTATCCACTTCCCATCTTGATTGGGAACTTGGAGTAGCACTCAATCTTGCATTTTAAATTTTGGACTTTGGAGTTCACTCGGCTTTCATTGGCATTGCAAGATGAAAAAAGCAATTGATCCATACTCCTGATCTGCCGACTCATACGATATAGAAACCAAACCTAGTAAGGCAACTTGACAATACAAAAAAACACGTAACCATTCACTCGTACCCATTCTAGTATTTGTAATTGCGATTCCAAAACTTTCTGCGAAAGTTCACACAATCAAATAATACTCTGCTGCAACTTATTTCCAAGGAGTTCAAGTGGTTTTGTATGGTTCTGAAACCTACCAACACATTCCGGCCCAGATAGCCCCTATATATTTCGTCTTTTTGTCAATTATAATTGCATCAGAATGTATAATACATAGTAGCTATCATCAATCTCTTTTTCCATTTAGTTCTAGTCAATATTGAGTATTTTATAGCGCTATTTTAGTTTTACAGGAACCCAATTTTGGTTCCGGTAACTCTCCGGAAACCTTTCAACATTCCAGGTCAATCTTGAGGTTTCGGTATTACACGGTACTAACAAACTTTCACGAGTCGTACCAGCCCCAAACTTCGGCAGAAACTTTCACTAGTAGTACTGGCCCCAAACTTTGGCAGAAACTTTCGCAAAATGTCACGTGACTGCCAAGAAGTTTGGGGCTGGTGTTGAGCTCAAGGTCACCCCCTCAAATACCTCCTAAAGATTACGGTTGCGGCTTTCCAGGGTTAGGGTTCATTATCACAGGAGTAACGCCAAGACATCTGATTAATGGTCCAGACTGTAGTATTTACATACGCTGCCGGAGATGCCTCTTTCGGTTGCAATGTAGGTCTCAAAGACACGTGGATCTGGGATGATGTAGAGAACATGGTTGCAGAGATGTATGTTTCCTGCAACGCCGCCCCCCCCCTTTTCTCAAATCGCTAACATCTTTGTCGGCATGCTTGCTTTCCGTCGTTCTCTCCGTCTTTTTTCAGATCTTTATTCATTATATTTCACATCGCGGGAGCACGAAGACGACCTGCAACACCCCACTCGACACGACACGGGGCTAGGAATCTTTCGGATGGAGGATCTGTCAAGGCCCCCGCCAGCTCCAGGTGAAATCGTACTTTAGCAACGTAACGCCAACAATGAAAAGATGTTATGATCAACTCATCATGGCCGGTATACAGTTTACCTAAAGACCAAGATTTGCCTTCTCTTACAACATAATGATATAATGAGAAGGCTGATCGAACTGTGTTTGGGGGTTAATGAAAAATGTTAACACTGCGCCGTCTAGAACGACATTGGATCCCCTGCCTCTTTACCCCCATACAGCATTGGAGAGACCATGGCATGGATCTCTTTAGGTATTTAGAATTCTACTATGCTCCTTTCCCGAGCTAATGCCAAATCTCGCTCGGGGGTTACTACTGGCTCCATGCTTATCTGGTCCTATCGAACTGTGCCAAAATGGACATCACGTTAATTTCTAAGTACACTGACATAAACGGAGGAGAAATCAAACAACAATTACAAAAGGAACTGGATGCTAAAGAAGGAAACTATCAAAACACCTCAATTACAGCCTCCGGCATGTCTTTTCTTCCAACATCATCTTAGCCACTACAACAAATCCGCCCATCGTCGAAACTGATAAGAGGGCAGTGACGAGGGCGGTGACCAAAAAGGCTGGTATCGGGTGCTTTCCGGCAAACCTCTGAAACGAATTAAGCCCAACGACGAAGGATAACAACGTTGAACCCACTTGGCCAAGGACAAACCAGCACATGATCCATGACCGCTGACTGACAGTACTGTGGCCTGGGTTGAATTTGGTGAGAAGATATAAAATTATGTATGGTGCAGCCATAAAACCCAGAGAAAGCAGCCACAACAAATACGTCCAGAGTGGGTTTTTCTGTGGCAGAATTAGCGCCTTCCGCATCAAATATTTTGTACCTGAGATAGCCTACTTTCTTTGTTTTGATGAACGTGGTAGACCGTGTGAGCCACCTAACAATGTTCACCGCCTTTTTGAGATTTCCATTTTCGCGATACAACCTTTTGAGCTCATCAATTAATTCCGCCTCGTGCTCACGGTCGAGAAAGGCTCCGTAGACCAGTCCGACCACGCCACTTGTCTGTTCCTCTACCTTCTTCCTTTCTCCCTTGCTCCACCACCCCCGAGGATAATTCATCTCGATCTCATCGCTTGGTGTTTTATTTGCATTGTCGGGGTCCTCCTCACTCTCAGGGGCTTCAATGCCGCGGTAGTGAACTAAATATCTCGATGGGTAGCGGGGACCTGTAAGGCCAGCGACAAGGTTCGCTAACGACATGAGGATATATGGGATGACAGTTAGTTGGTAAGTGGCATATCCATACTGACTCAGTCGTGGTTTCCCAATCTTGTACAGTTCAAAGGAACCATATATTATTTGAACAATGGCGGCGATGGTTTTGACGAAGTTAAAATTAGAGGCTAGATTGGTATCAGCAACGCCGGCCGTTTTCGATGCATCTCCGAATTCTTGGGGGGTAATAGAGTCTCTCGCTCCCGATTTTCCAAGCGATGTCGAAGTAGAATCCCTTTGCGATGCTGATAGTTTGTGCTCCCCTGGTTTCATCATGTTTAAGACTAGCTCCTTGAACCAGCCCTTAATAATATCATAGCGAGTCCTCTCATCAGGGTGACCTAATAACCGGGAAACCTTAAAATTGCGCGGTACTGCTATCAAAGAGTAATCCAAATGTGAAGGATCTTCAGGTACTCCGGCCTCCAGAGTTGTGGCCCCGACGTCAGGTTGTTTGAGATCCGGAGGATATTCGCCGTGTACCTGGGTCAGGTAAGTGGAAACCGGAAGGAAAGTAGCTGTGAGCGCTGCGGCATAATTACTCAATCGCTTGGGCCTTCTATGAGAATCCACTGGGTTACTGCTGAGGGGTTGGTGACTGAAAATCATGTCCTTATCAATCGGCGACGGAGACTCATAGGAACCATCGGAGATAGGGGTTTCTCCAGTCTGTGGTGATGACTTCTCGGAGTCTGGGGAAGCCGTCTTTGAAGGATTCTGCATCGGCAGGCGACGGTCAGACGGGTGACGAGCAGATGGAAATGCTGGGACCAGCATGCAAAGGGCACCCGCCCGCAGCGCGACTTGAAGATCTGTCCCTCCCCATATTGCAAAGCGACTTATCTCGTCAACGGCACGCGCTATGCCCACAGATGGCATTAAGATAGCTGTGAAAGATGCAAGGGCACAGGCGAGGGGCGTGCTCCCAGGTTCCGTAAGGACAGTAATAGCGTGTAGTCCATAATTCAGCAAAAAGAATTGGACTACGTCTCTCCAACCTGAGGGTCTGCAGATAGTCTGACCCCGCTCATATTCACCCGTATTGTTCATTCCGGGGAGATTGAGAAGGGAATGGATTCGGGAAGAGCAAACTGACGATGTAAGGGGGAGCGTGCGGAGGTTTTGGGGGGGGGGTCAAGGGGTTGAGAAAGGCGGTTTGTTGAGAGAATAGATCAGCGGGAGAGAGGCAGAGGAGCAGTAATATAAGTTAAGAAGACGATCAGTAAGGCAACCTACCCCGATCCTTCGAGGGAGAGTCTTATCAGCAGCACCAAGCACTAGATCGAGAGCAACAGAAAGCTGAAAGTTAAGTTTTATTTCGAACTGCCTCTTAGTTCGGTAAGCATACATTTCCTAGATCTCATTGGCCCAATTCCGAGGGGCAGAGGCAGCTCTGCGCTTATGAAGGAAACCATTAGCGCTGGTGATGACAACTTCATTTGATATGAAATCTCACCAACAAACGCCAAGAGACCTGTTCAAATGCCCTGGTTGCTGTCTCTGCAGACGGAATCTTGAACTAAATCTTACATCTCCCTTGGCTATAGTTGGTTCGGTATGTGCTGAGCTGCAATTTGCTAAGTCACATCATATGAACACTTCACGTAGGACTAGAGGCTTTCAGTTCGCTCGAATTTTCATTTTCAAAGTGAAGAAAACTCAGGCACCTAAGGTTGCGTTTACTTCTGCAGTTCACATGCCACTTTGAGATGAATATTTAAAACCAAACATTCCGCCCTTCAGTATTCCCAGTCTACACCTACAAGATCAGCTTAGGACAGACTCCTCGCTGCAGAAGTTTCCTTTTGAAAATGGAAAACAGAGACCAAGTGAAAGCCCCGACTCCAGCTTTATAGCGACTGGGGCTGGTATCCCCTGGTGGGCCGAAACATGCTCAGAATTACAAATCTGGCGCTTGCCTTCCCAGATAGGGTAATGCCACAGTTGAAATTTCAACAGGAAACTCCCACAAACAGTAAGTTTTGGCCCAGATTTGCCAAGGCTCCAAAGCACCAGATTCTGAGCATGTTTCGGCCCACCAGGCGATAAGCCTTTCGCATTATTGTCGCCAGGATCTACGTCGTAGGGGTTGGTGGATCGCAATACTGAGTGAGCGACAGTAACATTTTCTGACATTACCAGGGTTGCTAGTCTCGAAACGAACAACCAGATCTGCGTCTATCGGATAAGTAGGTTGCTCAGCTCTATCACCTACAATAAACTGATTGGAGAGAGGAGTCCTAACTCGTTAAGTGCTTCCATATCATGCCACAGCAGCGGGTTGAGTATTGTGCCTTTACAATACATACGGTCTGTGGAGTTTGACCCAGACTCAGGGCGCATAATAATTCAACGTGTGTTGGTGAATCTGTGTAATCACATGTAGCAACGATTTCTGCATTTCTTTGCCGACCACCTTTCTGCAATGTTAGTCCGGACGCCGTTTATTCATTGGCGTGTCCAACTAGCCATACATAGGCCACCGGTAGGGTCACTTGAATTATCAAACACTGGGTCTCCGATCCCCGATCCCCGGGATATTGGGCACGGGTGTAACTTAGTTTTAGGTTTGGTTACTTACCCCGATCTTCGCTACATGAACCAATAGAGACTGATCACCCAGCGCATGAGCTTATCTCCTCCGGCAACCAAATATCCTACACATCGTTAACTGCGAGAAAGTGTAAGTGAGGCATAAGTGTATATTGTTACGTACTTGGACGCCATGAAACGCAGCCCGCATTTCTCGATTAGTCGCGTGCGTATTTGCCGGCTCTCCCTCGATCGCGATTAGCATCAATAAACATGTTTAGTCATCACCTCAGTGCAGCGAGCAAAGAATATTTATTCTTAAGACTTTCAAGATTATCCCTTGGGCGCGTGAGGCATTTACGAAATCTCCCTCATGCATTAGCGTGATCTGTTCAGGAAGTGATCGACTGAAATAAGGCAGCGACCTGCGAAGTTTCTGGCATATAGGCGTACAGCGATGGGTAATAAGCCATCAGACCGTACGCCACCAAAATCCGCGTTTGCAGGCAAAATTGTGGCTAGGACGTCCGATGACTTATTACCTACCCCTGTACTACAAGTACTGGAAAACGCAGCGAACAGCTTACCCTGATGTTTCCTCACTCAAATTCGAGATCACATGATATTTATGCATGAGAGAGATTTCGCAAATGTCTCACGCGCCCAAGGGATACAAGTTAGATGCAGAAAGGATGAGACATTGAATTTTCGACTGCAGGACTCAATGACGCCTAGGGATATATTCGATCCTAATGCGTAAGATTTCCCTCTGAGAGTAAGTGTGGGACTATGCCAGCTAAGGAACTAACGCACGCAGAATGGCCTTGGGACGATAGGCGCTCGGTGGTTTCGGCGAGTATGTGCGAGTCTACATACCATAGGACCTGAGAACAAACAGGAGAAACGGATTATATGTAGGTACTACAGAGGTGCGCTGTCATTGGACTGACCCAACTTTCGGCGGACCAGTGACATACAGATTGAAATTCTGGATCCAACAAGATCTAGGAGCCGCATAAGCCGTGTTCTTGATACGAACAGGGTTACATACTCTCCATTAGAAAATGATTTTCTATCACCAATGAGGCGCAACGAAACTCGGAAAGTGGACGGCGATAATAGGAGAGATAAGCCAGTCACCCCCCCAGTCCCCCGCCACGACACCAGACATCCCCTCCCGATGCCAGTGACCTCCCGTCAGACACAGGCTCTTCCTTCTGAAACCTGGCCTTTCAGAGCCTTTATTTAATAAATTGGAGTCCTTCCATGCCAAAAGACGATGCGTATTGATGCTATGTGTCCCCAAGACCCATCATCTGGGAGTGGAGAGGCTCGCGAGTGGTTGATGTGGGGTGCAGGGAGTGGTGTTTTGGAACTATGCAAGCTCGCTTAAATCAGCCGGCATTAGCGTGCGTATCCATGCAACCTGTCATGGTCCGTGTGCGCAGCGCAACTCAAGACCCGAGTAACAGCGTCCTCCACATACCAGGAAGCTACGGAGAAAGTCACCGAGAAGATTTTTGCTGAGGGTCCAGTGACGCTAAGCGACCCCGCAAACACCTAAGTTCAATGCGTCTGAATCAAGACAAACCGCTATAGTGGAGAATGACAATTCCGGGATGGGGTGTGTGTGCCGGGTTTTAGGTGTACCGGGGGTTCTCCGACTTCGGAGTTGTATTGAGGTACATAAACACACAGGGATGAGGTTTATTTTGTTTCCGACAAAATTCGGGCTCCTATATCACATTCGTAACTTCAATCCCTTGGCCTGGTGAGACATCCAGATTCGGGAACCTTCATACTCGCGACAGGCAACAAGAACCCGAAAATGCAACTCTTATGCGTGTCTGGAACATGCATTCGAGCCGGGGTCATGATTGGGGGAATGCGAGACAGTATATAAAAAAATATAAAAATCATTGTTTACATGCTCTACCAACCGGTGTGTCCTCCCTGCGCTTCAATTACAGCAGCAATGCGTTCTGGCATGCTGTCCACAAATGCTAGTATTTCCTCCTCCGTGATACCATTGTTCCATTCATCCAATATTGCTGCCCTAATCTCGTCAACTCCCCTAGGGCGAGGTCTTCTAGAATTAAGTCTGTTTTTCAACAGATTCCATACATTTTCAATAGGATTAAGATCTGGTGACGAGGGTGGCCATTGTAGAGAAGGCATCTGATACAAATCCCGCTGTTCTTGGGTTACTTCTGCTCTATGTGCCGGAGCACCATCCTCCATAACCACAATTCCGCCTCCTACTGCTTGATTTTCCCAATACCAAAAGGGCCATAGGACCGGAGTAAGAACATTGTGGATGTAGGTGTTTGCCGTGATTGTCCCCCAGTTCTGCTTGTCCCAGAGAATGAGTGGTGTTTTTTTGCCGCCTAGAACACCGCCCCATATCATGACAGAGTTTTGTTTTCTGAACTTAGGCACGATACAGTATTCTGTATACACCTCTTCTGGCCGTCTGGTTACCCATATGTTGCCACGGCCACCACCAAGCCAAACATAACACTCGTCGGTCCAAATGACGTGTCTCCAATCGTGTATTGTCCAGTGCCGATGGCTCAAGGCAAAGTTAAGACGCTTCTCCTTAGTTTCGGCCTTCAAAAAGACTTTCTTTCGTGCAATTCGACGTCCGTATCCTTCTAAAGTAAAGGCTTTACGGAGCGTTTTTTCTGACGCGTCAACTCCACATATTTCCGCTATTTCACTGTAGGATTTCCGGCGATTTTCAGAGTTCAAGGTAGCTGTATAAACCAACTGACGTCGTGTAGGTGTATCAATACTAAAAGGCCTGCCCTTCTTCTTCTGCGGTGTAGTTGGTCTATGACAGATATCGAACACCGTAGATATAGAAAGGTTTTGATTTGCAGCAATTTTGGCATATATCCATCCAGATTCGAACCGGAGACATTTAACATAGCATCGTTGCTTGTAGGAGGTTTCTGCAGTCTTAATGGCAACCATAGCTCAATAGTTAGGGGCGTTTGAGGCGTTGGGAGGAGGTTTGGAGGCGTTGGAAGGAGAGTTCACGGTTTTGACAAACAATTCACGGCTTTGGAAAGACTCTATCTACTCTACTCCGCTCTATCTACTCTACTTTACCTCGGGCTCACGATCATAACAAGTTGTACTTTTGAAATGGTCGTGATTCCCTCCAATCATGACCCCGGCTCAAATGCATGTCCCAGACACGCATAAGACTTACATTTTCGGGTTCTTGTTGCCTGTCGCGAGTACCTAGTGAGATACCTACACATTTGGGAGGACGACTTAAAAAGCGGGGAGTGTCGGAACATCAGATTGACAGGGCCCTGCGGTAAGTAGCCTTGTGGTCTTATCGGACGAGGTTATACCGCCAGAGGGAGATTGTCGAAGCAACTACTCGCCGCCGGTGGTGTGTCTCGATTAGTAGGTAGGTAGCGAGGTGTGAGTGGGAGTCTTCCTAGAGTAAATGCCTGGATTTGCCGCGTTTGGATATGGTACCTATATACCTGGTTGCAAGCGGTTAAGCGTATTAGGGGGGGGCTGCAGATTATAATTGCGGGGACCGATTTATCCAATCGTCGTTCCCTCCATCCTCCAATTATCGGAGCACAGTCCGAGCGACAGACAGGCCTGAGGATGCTCAACACGTGAAAAAGCACATATGAAAGGGGCTGCTGGCTAGGGCACATTTTGTCCCAAGTGACCCTCAATCGGTGATATGTCTAACTAGGCTTGCGGGGAATCGGTTGAAATCCGGTGCCCCAAAAAGCTCTGTTTTGGTCATACTTCTCTTCCAACCCCTCTCCCAGATGAGAACAGCTACACATCGTACTAAATCTTCCAACACCCTCCAAACCCTATCAACTCTCCCCCAATATCATAGACACCTCTCTTGAAATAGGGTGCTCAACATGGGTGATAGTATTGAAGGATTCTCTTTATTTCATTACCCTATTTGTCGTCAGGATATGACTCACTTATGACCCACTTTCCTTATTAGTTACTGAATTACTCATACGTATATTACTCATTGTATCTCGTTTGCGCTACCTCTCTTTATCATGAGTATGGGGCATTCCCCCTTAGCTAGGACAATGACACGATCAATTACTTTACTCTCCTACCTACTTTCTCTAGGTTATGAACCTGGAGACCACTCACGCTTACACACTCCTTACTATTTTCACCACAAACCACACTTTCTTATATCACCTTCAATTAAGATTGAGAAGAGCATCAAAATTCATGCACTCCCATGTAAGCTGTATGGTCAAGGCCATTACACTTTATGTAGAAACCTTGCTGCGTGAATGTTGAAATTTCATGATATGTGGAACTTGCTCAATGGCTCGAGCAAGCGTCCCGTGTTAACCACCACCACTACTATATCTACCACACCACTATAAGCATTGTGAGCCACGGCTGGGGCTGAAGAAGATGAAGAAGAAACCTCCGACAATACCGAAGAAATCGGCAACTGGCACAAAAAGGACAATCTTGTAGTCACATTTGTATTCCTTCAATCTAATATCGAAATTCAACTTCTTCTCACGCCCAGACTGGCAGACACCCTAAACCATCTTTGGGCTCAGCTTGAGGACAGATTCGATCGGAAAACTGTCTTCTCTCTCCACTCATTCGTTGCCAATGTCTTCACCCTACCGTACTCACTCATTGAGGGTATCAAAGAAAATCTAACCGAGTTCATCACCCATTGGTAGTCCCTCCTCTCAAGGTGATAAGCGGACAAGTATTCCACATGGTACGTAGAGCAATGGCAGAAGTTGGCGAGTGAGTGTGTTATAGGGATCCAGATAGGGGATCCTGGTGTCAATGGGGATCAATAGGGTCAAAGGGGTAAGAGCGCGATGGTCTCATTATAACGGGAGAGAAAATAGTTATTATATAGTGATAGACAGCATAGATACTGAAGATAGATAGATGACTAGAATTTATTATCCGACTAGAAGCACAAAGCTTCTCGCAAGGGTCAAAAACAGATCAAAACAACGGATAACATCCAGAAGGAATACAGAAAGCGAAAGGGAAAACACAAGTAACTAGAGCTAGGATACAAATAGGTGCGAACAGGCAGAAATGTGAAACAGAATAGGTACAGGTAAGCAAAATTGAACCGAAAGAGTAAGAAACTTTCTCATAGTTAATGTAAATCAAACACCTCTACCAATTACGACCTTGTCCAAACCTAGTATC